TTTGAAAAGTCAAAAACTGCTTTTGAATCAATTTTGATAATTTTTTAGAAATACTTTGTCTGGCTAGAATAACTTTTAGAGGAAATTGGTTTAAGATAACTTCATTTGTAAGCTCTTTTACAATAAGCAGAATCAAAAGCAGAGCCTGCCAAACAGGCCCTAAATCATTTCCAGTTAATGCAATTCCCTGACTATTCATATAATTGATCTTGAAATATTAATTAAGGAATATTATTTGTTGAACCACCTATAGTAAAAAGTTGACTTTTAGGTGAGTTGGTTTAACTTGGTATCAAGACACAAATGTCCTACGATCCAAGTTTTTTGGCCACCCATTTATGAATATTTTACATATTAAAGCCTTTGATTAGAAGTGAATCCACCTTGGATACGAGGGTGCTTATTGGATATAGCATATAGTAACTATATTTATCTCATATCTAACCGTTTAAACTTTTAGGTGAGGTGATGAGGTTTAACATTTACATAAATGCACTGCAGTGAGACAGTAGATATTTGTGTGATAAAATTATTTCATCCTTAATTTATTATGCAACGCACTACTTCCTGTGTTTTCCCGATGTGCACATTAGACTTGAACTTTCTAATGTCTGTTGCGATGTCATGTTAAACCACCTCACATAAGAGCTTAAACTCTTAGACAAGGTGTTTCAACATTCTTCCTCAAAGTTGGTTCTATATCATTTTTCCAGTTACATTTCTCATCTTGGTTAAACTAGTGGTCGTTTTGAAACTTTTTCTAGGCAAGGAAAGATGGTAGTTCTTCAAGTCTTTCCCCAGTATACCAGAAGAATTTGTTGAAAAATTGTTGTTGTTGAAGCCACTAAGCCATTGACCAGGTTCGATGGAGCCATGAAGTTGTTAAATGTAGAGTGAAAACTAAATCCAAGACTAATGGTGTTCTGTATATATCTTTAAGCATTTGCCATCGACTTAATGATGCTAAACATGTTTTAACACGATTTGTTAACCTATGTTACTGTGTTTGGATAAGCTTGTAGGTGCTTACTGATCAACTTGTGAGATTTGTGAAACACAACTGAAACATTCTGCAATTTCTTTCGATTTTATTGCGCGTTGTAGCAGTCGGGCTCCAATAGATTGATGTTTCATATTACTTGTCTTCACAAATTTCTGCCACTCCCGGATTATGTTACATTCCTCTGTAAATGGATCAACCAAAACCTTTAGAGACTCAATAATGCTTCTTAAACAGGGTTTAAAAACTTTAAAAACAGAGGCTTTGACAGGTGATGCGGGTTTTTGTATTTTTTATTTTTCAAAAATTGTTCAAATTCAACGAAAGAGGTTCTAACCATTGGGCCCATAAAAAAAATTGTTCAATTTGAATTGGATTCAAGTCCAAACCAATCAACCTTACTCAAACCAACCCGAGTTTGGTCGATTTGGATTTGGTTTGGTTTCAACCATGAATGAGTTGGTTTCGATTTGAATTATTGTCAAATCGAATATGTTGGATTGGGTTTGAGTTGGACTTAAAACCAATCCAATCCAATCCAACTCACGCCTAGCCCTACATATTGGATTCGACAAATTCAATAAAGCACGCTAAGTTCCCGTTGAATAGAAATTAAAATCTAGATTTTAATTTGAATTAAAGTCTAACATAAAAGTGTCAAGGACAAAATTTCACATCGAGAAAAATTCGGGTATATAATATATAAATGCAACAATGTTAACCTTTTAAGATAGAACATCTGAAATTGAAAGATGATACAAGACCGGATGGAATTATTCTTACCGTGTTTGGGAGGGGCTTTTTGAGAGCTCGAAAGAACTTTTAGAATACTTTCGTATGAAAATTAAAAGAAGTGCTTATGTCAATTTGACATAAATATGACCTTTTTAATCTGTTTGGGGGAAGCTCCAATTTGGAGCTTTTTCAAAAAGCTTTAAATTCGGCTTTTATGGATAGCTGAAATCTGCATTAATTCTCTCATTAGTTTTTAATAAGATAAAAAATATCTAATTTTCTTATCGATTATATTTTATGATTTAAAGATTCTTTTTGAATGATTAATAGGGCATCTTTTACTTTTAAATTTTATTCATTATTATTTTTCATTTTATAATGTCCAAAAAATATATTTAGAAATGAAATGAAAAATGTAGTAAAAAAAAAAAATTAATGATACAAGAAATTACGGTATCTATCTCATATTCTCATATATATAATAATGTATCATATCTCAACTTCTTAAACAAACAAATTTGAACTAATATGAATAATACTAAGAAAAATATGCCATGACAATTTAATTAAAATAACTAATTTTATAGATTTTGTATAATAAAGAAATAATATTTAGTAAAATAATTTTATGTACAATTAATAAATCAAAGTACTTTTTTAAATATGTTGCCAAACC